AAACCAGAAAACAAGAGATCAAAACAACCTCCAAGATTCTACAAGCAGCTATAACCGGAAGTGACGTCTATTGATAGCAACCTATACCTCTCTACCTTACCTTGTCAGGGGCAGTGATGGGATCTTTTGTCATTAGGTATATGTCATCAGGACCCTCAGTCTGTGGATGGACAAACAAGCAGTGAATTTTTTGAACAGTTACATTTAACAAAATAAGACAGATTGAAACACATGCAAAACAGCCATCAACTTTTGGGTTTCCTGTGTTTTGGCTCCTGATATATACTGGAGCACAAGTTATTCGTGAGGGGGGGGGGGGGGGGGGGGGGGGGGGGGATTGTAAATGATTAGAGAGTTTTAGATTGGTTTTTTTTCTCCCCGCAAATGGCAAACGTGACCACGTTTTCATAGTTTTCCTGTATTTTACTTTACCTTTTACAAACCTTCTCACCAAGCGCAAATACTCTTTTGTTTTTCTACTACTTGGACTTTTTTGCGATTCTTTTTCAGTAATTTAAAATGATTTTTTACTGGTCAACTGACGTTTCACGTTTGCGGTGAACGTAAATCTAAAACTCTCTACTGTTTAATAGCCCACCTCCAAGATATGCTTTGATTGTCACGCACAAAGGTTTCAGCATGAGGCTACATGCTGAATTAAATTTATCCTTAGCGCCTGTCACGAATGACTGAGCATTTAGCATGTAGCCTCATACTGAAACCTTTGTGCATGATAAGCGAAGCATATCTCGGAAGAGCTAGTGGGCTATTGGATAGAGGGCAAGACTGGAAGAAAGTAAAAATGGAAAAATTTACCTCAGTATTTTGAAGGATTGGAATGAATATGCAAGGGATGGGAAGAAAGGGAAGGGAATTAAGGAGAAGGGAGTGAAGAAATGGAAGTGAAGAGAAGGGGTACAGAGGGACGAAGGAAGACAGTTATATTAAGACCCATGACAAATATTTCACCTTTGGGTTTTCAAGGATGCCTGACTCATAACTAAATAAATGACAAAGGAAAAAGAAAAGAAGTTAGAAAGTACAACAAGACTTCCATGTCAATATGAATTAGAAGTTTTAAGACTAGTTTATAAAATAATTGGGGTTAGTACACACACTATGATTGGTCAAAAACCATGTTTGATGAGGGTATCAAAACACGCTTGTGTCATCCTTTACAAATACAGAATTATACGATTTTTTCCCTGTCTTTTGGCGTGTTTGTTATTTTATAAAACAGATCAAAAAACAGTTTTCCATGTTTGATACTCTGATCAAAACACACGGGATGTTGAGAGAAGACGAGAGGAGTGTAGGAAACCATGACGCATAATTTTGATCCGTTAAATTTACCTGATGTGCATCAGGTTAGCATCCATGCTCCATGGATTCTTGGGTGTAACTGGTAGTGGGATATCGTGAGCCTATAAACAATAATGATAATAAATAATATATAATAATGATGGTATTGATGATGATGATGATGTCATGGTGGTCGTGGTGGTACAATAGTCTGCAATTATTTATTGCAAATACTACCATCATCATCATCATCATCATCACTCTATCACCACTACCAGCACCACTACCATCATTGGTAGTGGTGATGATGCTGATTATAATGATGATGGTGGTTGGTGATAACACTGATGACTTTGACCTCACATTCGCACTACCACTGTACATACATTCTGTGCATACAACTCTCATATCACATGTTTAATTTTATACATATCAAAAAAACTCAAATGTTTAAATTAAAAAATCAAAATTATGCAAAGTAATTCACCTTTGCATATTCAAAAAGATCAGTTCTTCCCTTGAATTTATCCAAGAACTCTGGCAGCCTCCAAGGAGAGATTGTCTGCAATATAAATAATATGAGCTTCAGAACTCTATATTTTAAATGGGATTATAAAATAACTGTTCTAAATCTTGCATACTGATTGGTTGGGAGCGCATGCTTTATGAGAGCATGCGYGCACACTTTCAGTTTGGCAGGGCAGGGCAGTACAGTACGGGGCAGGGCAGGGCAGGGCAGGGCAGGGCAGAGCAGGGCAGGGCAGGGCAGAGCAGGGCAGTAGAGTTGAATAGAGTAAGAGAAGTGAGACACAAGCACATACCTGTACATTTGGAAACAATGCATAGTATGTCATCTCAAACCTGACCTGGTCATTGCCCTAAAAAGAAAGGATTCCATCAAATATTATTATCATTTATTTGCAAAATTTTAAAATGAAAAAATGAATAAAGATTTTTCTTGTGCATTACCTTTCCAGTTGCACCATGAGATACATATCCTGCATTCTCCTTCAATGCAATCTCAATCTGTCGCTTTGCAATGCATGGGCGTGCAATAGCTATAACAAAAGATCCAAGATAAGTTTCTGGTTTCTGGGACTGGAATTTTATAATGATGACAGCAGCAAAGGAGACATTAGCTGAGACTTGAAAGCATGAAAAAGGCTAAAGCCCCCACCCCTCCCCCTGGGTTCTGTACCAATCAAATTGGCCCCTGTCACTATACCCCTAGTATAGTTTACAAGTGATTAACATTGTGTATTTCTTACATGTTCCCATAAGATATCTATCTTCATAGATAGCATTGGCTTGAATGGCTGGGAAAATAAAATCTTTGACAAATTCCTCCTTCAAATCTTCAATAAACACCTAATAAAACAATAAAACAATAAAATAAATCTACTCCTTTTAAGAATAATAAGCATTATGATTTATTTTTAAAAGTAATTTTCAAAAGATTTTATTATCAAAGTGTCGACATCTGTAAACAATATGCACCTGCACCTACATATATAATCAGTAAGAAAATAATATTAATTTAATCACAACCACAAGAACTTAGGATATAGATAAGATCAATACAAGCAGATTCAATTTAAATTGAAAGAGAGAAATAAGAGATGAAAGTAATTATAAATACATTCTTATGTACATAAAAAAGATTCTTAAAGCAAATAATTAATCTCTTTAAATTGTTTGTGGTAAAATTGGTATAGTAAATTTAAAAGTRAAAAAATATCTCAGAAAAATCTTTAAGCTTTCTAATAATAATTTTAGAAGCAAAATGTAATTTTCTTCAAAATTATTGAGACTTATCATAACATAAATCTTTTTTTTTTTTCTTTTTTTTTTCCAAAAAACATAGGTTTGTATGGAATTCAAAAAAAATCTACTCAATATCTGTTCTACACCTTTCTTATTCAACAGGCTCATTAAAATATATTTTTTAATATATTTTTTATCAAATTTACAGCGCTCTTATCACCTTTTCACTTTTACACTCTTAAATATTTTATCAAATAAGATTAAATTATAAAATATTAGCTGTTAAGTGAAAATCTGTGGTTTCACTGGGACAAATGAAATCAAATTTACCTTTTTTGCACCAAGATTCGTAGCTTTTTTTCTAGCAGCTTCAAAATCTTCATCTTGACCTACATCAGCCTGTAGTGGGAAATGAAAAAAGAGAATGAAATAAAGGGAAAATTCCAAAATGAGAACTTGATATTTATATTGAAATCTTATCTCGGATTTGCAGCTGTTCTAAATGTAATTAAGGTAAAATAATAATTTTCACAAGTTTTCATTTTAAAAGCCTGAAGCCACAATATAGAAAATGTTTGGAGGAAACATTTGGTTGAAAACATTAAAATCGAAAATTTCGTCAAAAAATCCTTCCGGTCAATTGTAGCAAATGTTATGAAATAATAAGCTTACTGAAAAGCAATATAGACTTTTTTGTAGATAATCTGCCAATTTTGACGGATTTTTAGTGGCAATCATCGCCTCTTTGTCTACTTGTCTTGACTTATCATATTTAAGATAACTTCGATCACCTGGCAGTCAATAAGTGTAAGAATGTTCAGCCCCAAAAAATTCCTTAAATCTCACGCTTTTTTAACAATAAATATTATTTATTCATATCAAAATTTAAAAATCAATCTAAAAGAGGAAAATGTTAAATTAATTCTAACCTTTGCCTTTTGAAACCACTTTTCGATTCGTGCAAACGAATTAATTTTTCCGCCTAATTTTTGAAGTATCCAGGCAACCGGAATTTTTGCATCCTCCAAGCATTGATTTATTTCCTTATAAAAGAATTATCCAATATCTAATTCCTTATTGTTTTTCTATAAAAAGTCATAGAGACCTTTGCCTAGAAAAAGTGTTCTTATATTATTCGGAAAAATTTTGAAGCTTAGCAAAAAACATTTGCCGACGAAACTACGGCCAAGTCATCTCTAATCCTCTCTCAATAATCTTACATTACCAATGGAATTTTTATTTCTTGATAAGGAAAGGAAGAAGAAAGCTAAATTACGTTGTAAAAAAAATTTTTTTTCGAGAATCGGATTTTTTTTCCGTGACTTTTTTAAAAATAAAACACGTGCGAAGGCAGTGAGCTGATGCAACTCATCAACGGTTTCAAATCGAGAAGAAAATTCTTATTGTTCTTTTTCCTCGTGAAAAAAAATTACTTAGGCTTAATATAAAGTCAATTCTAAAGTTTTCCTTACCATGTAGCAGATAACATCAAACCCTTGCTCCTTTAGCCATACTAAAATACACGAAGTGTCTAGACCACCACTGTATGCAAGAACAACAGTTTTACTCGAACCGGCTTCAGCCATTTTCTACGATACCAAAGTAAATATAGTCACTCTTGAAAGAAGCCTTATACACGTAACCTACAACTTACTATGTTGTTTTGAGGATATAAAGATCAACAATGTTAATTTGTTTAAAGAGAGGCGATAGTGACCCCTGATTGGCTAAGTCTTATTACGATACCGGATAATACCAGTCCATTTGAATATATGATTTATCGTTTGGCGAGACTTTCAGTCTATAACCTTTTTACTTCCGGCGATTTTCACTGCAATCAAAAAGTTAGGGACAGACCATTAGATTTTTGGGGGGGAGGGGGGGGGGGTTGGGTAAAAACCAAAAAAAAAATTCGAGCTCAGCTTTAAAGAGTGAAATAAAAATCGTGCATAAGAAAAGTGCCAGAAAAGATTCCAAATCATGCGGCATATCGAATTCACGGAATCAACGGAATCTCTTTGAAACATATGGAAGTCAAACATCATTAAAATAAAGACAAATCAAATCAAAAGAAAAAGTTAAGAACTTCGTGCTCGGTCGTCCTCTAAGAAAAAAATTATATAAAACAACTCGATCGCCATTTTGTAAGCACAGGTAGCCCAATTTTCAAACACAGGAAGCCCATAGACATAAAGAAGAATTGGGCTACCTGTGCTTACAAAATGGCGATCGAGTTGTTTTATATAATTTTTTTCTTAGAGGACGACCGAGCACGAAGTTCTTAACTTTTTCTTTTAATTTGATTTGTCTTTATTTTAATGATGTTTGACTTCCATATGTTTCAAAGAGATTCCGTTGATTCCGTTGATTCCGTTGATTCCGTTGATTCCGTTGATTCCGTTGATTCCGTGAATTCGATATGCCGAAATCATGTCCAAAAAAAATTCCTGCACAGCCATGAGGCGTAAAAAAAATTCCTGCACACAATAAATTGTCCAAACCCCCCCCCCCCCCTTAAAAATCTAATTGTCCATCCCTTAGGTTCCTATGAGTTTGGTGAACAGAATTCAGGAAATTAAAAACACGGAATGCAAAAGAATAACTACGGCAATAAATGAAAGACATAGGGTGTGGGACGTTCTTCTTGTTAGACTGCATTATCGCTTACCAGTATTTCCAACCCCTCCATTCCATTTTCGTAAAAAGCATGCCAGGTGGTTTTTAGCTAATTCTGAAAGCAAAACTTGAAAATGAATCATGGGGGGGGTGGGGGGGAGATATCAGTGTGAGAAATTATAAGCTAAGTAATAAGATAATAAGATTTCTAAATTTTACTCAAAGCACAAAGAGGGGGTTTTGGAATTTTTTCCCTATATCACTAAGCCCACTAGTTTTCTTTACCATTTTTTAACAACCTTCTGTAGATCTTTTTTACATTTTTTTTCTGGATTAGCTAGAGTGCACAAAAAGCAGATTAATATTGTGTTAATTACTTTGATTCCTAAGGAATACTAAGTATCATAGCTCAGTTATGCTGGACTACAGTTAAATGCACACTTTACGACCCCCTCGGTGCTGTGTGAATGACGTCACATAGCACCCTTTTTAGGTTTTACTCTTTTCTTTACTCTCAGGGGTGGATCCTAAATGAAGAAATGTATACAGAGATATTATGCATCGTAAATGTTTCTTCATTGCTTCAAAAAAGTGTAATAACAATAATGGCATTAGGGGGGTGTCTGGTGCACTACAGGACATCCCCTGGATTCACCCCTGATTCTAATCATTTTTCATCTCCAAAGGGGGGTGGCCACCCAATCCACCCCTGAATCTGCCCTTGTTCCTAATTGGATCTCTTCCTGCAGACATTGTTTTTACTTTTAACCTTATGTACAATTTATGAATTTAAACATTATTATACCTACTACAATTAATCATAAAAATATTAAAACAGATTAAACTAGATGGTCAACACCATTTTCCCTTGTGCTCCTTTAGTTTCAATAATCTCTGTGTGTGCTTGAACTACTTCACTTAGAGAGAGTTCACGGCCAATTATAGGCCTTAACCAACCAGCCTCTGCTCCAGCATTTAATGCTGCAATAGTCTCCTTTTTCTCTTCATGGTTGATATTCATCAGCATCACTCCAAATATACTCGATTCTCTAGCCATAAGATCACGAGGGCAGATTCCAATATTTCCTCTGTTACCAACCACCTAAAGGCAAAGATTGAGGCCATCTTGTTATGGTTATTAAGCTCTCATATTATTTCTCTATTGAAGAGCTTTTAATAGTTTGAATAAGGTGGTCCCAATGTCAATCTTTTTCTTGGTATCAACATATACACAATAAGAAGAAACCACAATTTTATACAGAGAATATTTTAAAGAAATATTGATTGAAATCAAAAATAATAATTAGCTATTAATAGCAATTGTGGAAAATGTAACAGTCCAGCAAGTAATAAATCTCTGGCTCTTATTTAGAGGTTTTGATTGTTTTAAGGGATCAATGTACTAAAACTATAGGTCAATACACCCTAGATCACAAATTGCAGGGACACCTTGCAGCAACACCTCTACACCCTGTGTACTGTAATCAGGAGACAAGTGGTTCATCTTTTAATGCAAAAATGAATTCATAAATTTCATAATGAAAAACCCTGAGAACTAGAAGCTCACTGGTTCATTTTTATGATGTCACATGAAGAGACAGATCACTGAGAGGAGTCACTAGGTGCATTAGTATAAAACAATGTATGTAACCTCTACTATGCTCTAATGCCAATTTTGAGGTTCTGAGATTTTTGAGATTTTGGGATTTTTGCTGATTCATTTCTTGGTCACATTAAATTACCAATTTCCTAAAAAAGGTTTGCTGACATACCCCAACTCTGCCTCCAGTTGCCAGCAGCTGCAGATCCTTGTGAAGGTTCACATTAGCAAGCATTTCTACAATTGCATCAACACCTTTTCCTTCTGTTACTTCCTGACAGAATAATATTGAAGAATTTAAGTCATTCTTAACAGCACTCACAGAATCATACTTATTTACGACAGGGCAGAAAAACGACAAGCCTGCTACTTTCATGATTTTTTCATTTAACTGAGTTTGATACCCCAAATTTTTAAGTGTTTCATTTGTGTCACTGCTGCTAAAAACTTGTGACGAAATTTTGTCGAATTAGAATAAATCTACTTATTAGTATTCACGAAAATGTCAGTTTTTCTGCTGATCAAAGTATCACCTCTCCCAAAGTACACGGCTTTATATCTCAAATAAGCATTCAATAAATTTTGGTCGCATTTAATATTTTGCTATTTGGCTCCAAAAGAACGTGTTTACAAAATATTGAGCTGAAATATGTAAAGCTGTCCTTATGGCAAAAGGCCAAAAACCGTTTTTCTGCCCTGTCGTCATTTACAGAAAAAAGTAACACAATTCCAATCCATATTATCTTGATAACCTACCTTTATTTTATCTACATAATCTGGACTATGATGGTTAAAAGTATAATGAGCACCCGCTTTACGCACAATCTCTTCACCCTCAGGAGTGCCTGCTGTTCCTATGACAACCAGCCCATGAGCCCTAGCAAGCTGGCAGGCTGCTGTCCCAGCCTAAAATAGTTTTAAGAGCAATAGCAAATGTTAGAGTTACACTTTTTTACTATTGTATTAACCAAAATGTCTCAACTCTGATATCTGCCCTTTACAGTACATTGTATACTAATTGTTCATATATAATTTGCAATCAATATCTATTTATCAAAAAGAATTAAGCTTACCCCTCCGCTTGCACCATGCACTAAAACTGTCTCACCAGGGCGAACAAGTAGCCTAAAAAAAAATTCGCAAAAAAAAAAAGTTAGATGGAAAACTTTATGCAATGTTTAATAAACGAGCAGGAGTGTTTTATCGGGTATAAAACACGAGGCGCAGCCGAGTGGTTTTAGACCCGATAAAACACGATCTGCGAGATTATTGAACGGCTTAGAAAACTTATGATGTTTGTTCTCATTGTGTACCGATTTTTTTACGAAATGAACCAAGTTTGATAGAGAAAATCCAAGTTAAAGTTTATGCAAATGAAGACGAATCTTTATCCGATTTAAAATCACCTTCATGGTCATGATTTCTATTGTGTTTTCTTCATGAATTATTAATGAGTTTTCTAATTAGAATTAAAATTCTATCATTGAATAAGAAGAATCCAAGGTTAAAGGTTACATACATAGTTTGTGTCAATGATATTTTACATAGATTATGGGTAAACATTTCTATAAAATGCTTATTGACACATCATTTATTCTTTCATTCAATCATTTCTTTAAATTATTCAATCAATTATCTATTCATTTACTCCTTCATTTACTCATTATTAGTATATTAGTAATGTAACAATATTAGTAAAACCCCTAATTGATGGAATATCAAAATCAATTTCACAAAAAAAAGTATTTACCTGTGAAATAGTGCTCTGTAGGATGTAAAATAAGGCACCCCTAGAGCGGCACCCTGGGTGAATGAAAGCTCATCATGCAGCTTAAAGGCATCATTCTCATTACACACTGTAAACTCAGCATATGTTCCTGTAAGACTGGAGAAGGTGTATACACGGTCACCAACCTGGGAAGCAGAAAGTACTTACATAATGAAGTAGCTCGCCAAACTACAACTTGCTATTTTCCTTCTTTACTCTTTTCTTCTTTTTTTCACTCAAGGAAGGACGAACATCAGTAAATTCAGTATAGTTACAAACGTTTGTTTATAAATTTCTCTGTAGTCATGTTAGTGTTTGAAAGGTCATAACTTTTTTTATAAACTTTTAAGCTAAACATTCTGAAATTTGATCAGTAAGCTTGTTTTATGTTGTGCTTTCATATGATGGGCTTATTTTTTTCAATAACCGAAACTAAATTATTTTTTAAAATTTTGAGTTCGTTTCTTGCTCATTTTGTTACTAAGAGCAAATTGCTCATTCATTCATAGATTTTAATTTTTTTAGTCTTTTAAGTCTTTTTACTTGTTTATTGTTTTAGTGGGGAGGAGCCTCGCATGGAGGAGCCTCGCATGGGACTCTCGGTCCCGTTTCACGCCCACCCTCTTGGTCCTTCTTTCTTGTTTTTTTTCTCTTTAGTTTATTTGTTAATTATTTTGTTCATTGAGAAATTTGAAGGCCAATAAAGCTGTTAAAAAAAATACCTTGAACTGTGTGACACCATCCCCGATTGAATGAACAATCCCAGCGCCATTTGCTCCAGGTGTATAAGGCAGCTGTGGCTTCCTGGCATATGTACCACTTCTGATGTACGTATCAACTGGATTGACTCCTGCAGCATGTAGCTTGATTAGCACCTGTTAATACATTTGAAGTAGGACTTCTATTAGAAAAGCAGCTATAAAGTACTGGTTACTTATAAAGCTATGTATTTCACTCTACAGGGTGGCACACTGGGGGGTCGGCAACACATTTCATGCATCGAGAGACCAGTTTCCAGTTTCAAATTACTGCTGTGTTTCTTGATTACAGACTCATTTACACAGGGTTAGCCTCGATTTTGTGCAGAATATTCACGTGTTCCAGTCAAGATCCGTTTAGTTTCAAAGTTTTTGTTGGTACTGTACTTTTTATGTTCTTGACTGACAGCAGTGAAAAACCTATTTCACAACCTTTTTTTCCCACAAGGGTAGCACTTAATAGCCAGTGGCTAACAAACCTGTGGCCCTCATTTCATGATCAAATTGGAATTTTAGGAGTTGATTTTTGCGGAGGGAGGAAAACCGGAGAACCCAGAAAACCCTCGAAGCACAGGAGAGAACCAACAAACAACTCTACTCATATACAACACCGAACCTGGTGGGATTCAAACTCGGGTTGCATTGATGAGAGGCAAGCGCTCACACCGCTACGCCACCCGTGCTTCCCGAACAAGCCATTGAAATGAATGAGTTCACAGAATATCTGAAAATGCAGTAATTCCTCCCTAATCTTAGTACAGCCAACTCCCTTACCTGTCCTTTATCAACCCTTGGTATCAGAACATCAGTCATCAGCTTCAGAACCTCAGGCCCTCCAAACTGAGACACACGGACAGCTCTCATCACTTGTGCAGCACACATCTCCTAGTTATGTCTATTTTACATATGAAAATTTAGTAAGAACTCTACTTAGCCTAATTATTGGAATTCCTGCAACTGAGAGAGAGTGGGGTAGTGAAAACATACAGGAGAAAATTTTATATTCCCTTAAGATATGAATAACAATGAAACAGGCACCATCTTGCATTGGTTGATACAACAAGAGAAGCTTTTAAGCTTATAAGCTTTTAAGTATGCCTCATTAAATAAGGAATGCTTCATATAGCCAACCAAGATGGCAGCTTTGACGTAACAAAACATGCACCTCAAGAATACTGTTTTATCACAAAAATACACATACAATAAGGAGGATACATGCCCGGGGGGGGGGGGGGGG